TTCATGCAGTACAAATATGACAAATCCAGATCCAAGCCTGCTACTTTCACCTTTTTAATTAGATCAAGGCAAAGAAAGCGCTTGATGTCCCGCCTGAGTCCCTCTGGCAAGTCTCGGATTAATTCCATTTCGTCATCACAGCCAACGGTGGCCCACCTTTGCCACTCATAACGCCGTACTCTGTGCCTCAGTTGTGAAGGAAGCTGTCTTCGTTTCATCCACCACTCCATGTCTCGGATTCTCAGTTGCATTTTCCTTTTCTTGGCCATCACCGCATGCAGAAACACCTATTCTTGCAAGAATCAATAGTTGAATATGATAGGTTAGACATTAATATCTTGGGTAGACATGTACTAAAATGGTTTATTATGCAAATCTATACTGACCTGAATGTTACCGATTAACAGAGTGAACAATAGTAGACCACTCAGCACCGTCGATATACTAAACATTACTTCCAACCAGTTACTCGTCGGTTCCAAGTCATTGCCAAAGGTGCTGCAAAACCAAATACCAAGCCGAAATTTGACAATTCAAAACAAAACAGGGTAGGTTTTTCTTTTTCTTTTTCTTTTTTTTCTTTTTTAAAAGCTAACAATGAGACTCTTCCAAAGAAAAAAAAATTGCTTTTAATGGTATCCTTACCTTAGGGTCATCAATCCCCAGAAAATCGGATAGAGAATCTTGACGGCCACAGAGTTGCTCGACACAACAGGCAAAGCCCATTTGTATATTCCATAACGGAAAGGGCCGTTAACGTCCAGACACATCGGCTTTCTGACCAAAACAGTCGAGTTCCCGCCACACGGGTTGCCCAAAGTGTCGGATGGCAAAAGAAACTGATAGCAGACCTCCTCAGAGCACGAAAGAGACAAGTTACAACTACCATTTAAGGCGCATTGTTGTTTCAGACAAGAAGCCACACGCTGTATTGCAAGAACGTACCAGCATCCACCAGCAACCTGTACATATGAATTATCATGAAATCCATAATAACCATAACTGTCCTGAGGTTCATCATCATGTATAGAACCATAAATCGTGCCTTTTCAACTCTCTCAAGAAAATGGAATCAATTGTGGTGTATCCTGTGAAGATATTTGTTTATATTTGTCTTATCAATTGCAGCAGTTGGTGGATTAGTTAGATGAATTTGCACAAGATTGATTAACAAAATATGATTGCAACCAACAATCGTCTATTCTTGAGATATGAAATTGTTGCTTAATAGTTTCATTTACAATATGTCGGATCTAAATGGAGAAAAATGTTGAAAAACAACTCTATTTCCTATTGAGATATTCTAAATATATTTTTGTTAAAGTATCTTATAAGGTTATGTTACCAGAAAACATCCTATTTTCCAACTTTTGAAGGTCCCACTTATCCACTTGGCCTCCACGTGGCTTCATCTATGGACGGAAGTTTGTAAAGTATAGTAGAAACAAATAACCATGACACACTCGTATAGCTGAGATGAGAAAGACAATGGAGTTGGGAAGACACTTACATGGGAAGCTATGAAGTAGGCGATGAGATTAAGGCCAAAACCCCACCAAATGGTGCCGAATATATAACCGGTCACCTTTTGCATTCTTCTCATTAGGTATATGCTGTGATAGACCTTTGGTAGGAATTGGAACATGAAGATTATCAGTAAAATTGTCATTATAAGCTTTATTTGTTCCTCCCTTATCAATTTTGGCAATATTAACCAAAACACAGCCTGCACACAAAACAAGTCATTGTTACCCAAAGCTGAAGATACAAATTTGGCAATGGGGAAAAATATTAATTTACCTCCCAAACACCCTTTTTCTTTACCTCTTCGGATTTTAGTCATCTATCTACCAAAGCATAAAAGTTTTGTGATTAATTAATTGTGAAAAGAAAACCTGAGGGACGGGGAGAATGACGAAGACATCAAACCAGAAGCCCTTCACCGAGCGCAGGTAATGGGCCGCGATGGCGCGTGGGTCCCACACCAGCTTCCCGCAGCCCACGACCAGCGATTCTCTGGACACGTAAGCCAGCTTGAACTGTAGCCACAGGTGGCACAGGTGCACCGCATCCAGGCACGTCCGGAGCACCGTCACCACCGCCGCCAGCCCGCCGTCCATGTACAGGCACGGCGACCCGCCTCGCCCGATCGACAGCGCGTAGAAGAAGAGGGGATCCACCGCCAGCGCCATCCCACGCGCCAGCAGGAACGCGCGGTTCCACCTCTGCACGCGCTTCGTCCGCGGGTCCAGGATCGGCGGCCGCCGCCCGTCGCCGCCGGATCCGGCCTTTGGGCGCCCGATCCGGTTCTTTATGGGGAGAAGGGACGAGCCCGCCGAGGCCTCCCACTCCGGCTGGTCGGTGTTGTCACAGCTGGTGGAGTGGAAGACCGGGACGCCCACCTGGGTGCACACGTGGCACTCGCCGCCCGAGAACGAGAACTGATTGTCATCGCCGTCGACGCCGTTGTCCGGCCGGACTGAATCTCGCCGGCGAAGTCCAAACCACCTGAAGTGCACATACGGCGTCGTTCAAGTTAGTAATTGTAATTTTTTTCTTAGTACCAAAACACTTCTCTAATTTCTATACTTGGGATATATACAAGTGTTTTACCATCACAATTTAAAATTTAATTATTTATTCATTTTCAATTTGTTAAAAATTAATAAGTTTGCACAAAAAATTTACAAGAATTGTTTGAAAAAACTGTCAAAGTAGAGAAAACAAAAAAATATGAATTGAGATTATACACAAATTAGGATGGAGGAAAATAAGAGTAGGTTTTAAGTGCGTATTCGATGTAAATTATGCTGAGGATGCATAACNAAACAAAATTTATGTAACCTTGAGATGGAAAATTGGAGGTCTGTATTCTGAGGAGGCATCTTCGGAGGAGGGAAACCATTTAAACACTATAAAATAATACTAAAATATAATTGAGTGAAGTGTGAATTAATTATTAATAAAAAAGAGGTGTGTATTCTTGACTGCGTGTGATTTGTTTCATTTATTTTTTATGAGTGGATGTCTATGGTTGCTTTTACATAATAATTGAAGTGAAGAATTGTGTAGATAGATTTGTATGTGAGGGGCCTTAACTCAGAGTGACAGTATGGAATTTTCCTCGGAAGGGTAACATGGTTGCTAATGTTTGTCGGCATACTGTTGAGAAAAGTGGGGCTTGTAAGGTTAGCGCACAATTTGATGCATCGGAAGAGGTGGTCCTCAATACTCATCATCATATTTCATTTCAATTTGGGCTTACCGTTAACTTGTTACCAAGTTAAAAAAATAATATTTTTATTTTTCAATTATTTTTTTCAGAACAATAGACTTTCAATAGAAGAAAAACACGTACATACAAACTAGAGAATAGCTAAATAGCCCGAGGACTAACCTCATAGGCAGATAGCTCGAGGCAGCCTAGAATCAATCCAAACGCACTCACTAGTCTTCATTTAAAATTAGTCATCAAGACTTATTCATAGTGTAATCATTCTTTTATTTCGATACTTGTATCGGTGTTGATTCTTCAGGGAGTATATCAAAATTTTATTGTCAATATATGGGATATACTTACATCGGTGTTAATCCTTCAAGTAGTATATAAAATCTTTATTGTTAACTTAAAAAGAATCCTTCAGGGAGTGTGTAAGAATTTCATTTTCAACTTACAAGCTATCGAAAAAAAATAAAAAAATACAACTGATTTATTGTTCTAATTATTCTATCCATCAATGTTTAATATTAGTGACCTTCTGGGACTACTAGTATTCAATTGAATCTTACACATTTAGTTAGATAGATATTCGTTAAATAATACTTCATCATTTTCATGATTGCACAATTCCATCTTCTCATCCAACCATATTATAAAGATGATCATAAATTGAGCTATGTAGCATCAATAATATGTTATAAACCGGGTATCAAATACACGAAAATCCTACGAACTAATATGTATTTTTCAATTCTTACAAATAATCTAAAAAATAGAAAATTATAATCGAACTGAAAAATAAATTACAACTGAAAAATAATAATCAAACTGAAAAATAAATTACAACTGAAAAATAAATTAAAACTTAAAAAACAAAAGGGAAAGATTTTAGCCGAGGCGAGTAAAACTCTTTCCGCAAGAAGAATACGCCCCGTGTTGCAGCTAACGGTTTAGGCGTAACTTCCCCAAAGATACAACGGCAAACTTCTCTAAATCTCTAGCACACCAGATTTAAGAGCTCCGGCGAACTGGAACGGAGTCGAGAATTGAACACTTAAAAATATGAATAAAAATATCTCTCTTTTGTTATTTTTATAACAAATAAATTTTTTTTTCTATTCTTTCTTTCTCTCTATCTTTCTCTTCTTTTCTTCTGTGCAGTGCGTTTTTCCTTCTGCTGAATATGCCTATTTATAGGCAGAGAAAACGAATCAAATTGGCCAATTGTCCCACCTTCTACGCGGTTTCATTTCACAAGTTGCAATAATATATATTTATTAATTGATGGTGAGCGGCTCAAGTTGCAATATGACCAATAATTATAATGTTTTTAATACAAAGTGAGTTGGCTGCACCGCCCAATTACACTTTTCTCTAACAATCCTCCACAAAAGTGTAATATATATATAGAATACTATGCTCAATACTCACAAAACTCTACTGCATCAGAAAAGGTAGCTTTTGGCTTTGAAGCCTTCTTTGTAAACATCATCGGATGCACTGACGGCCTAGTGGACATAATGCCTTGAACTATTCCTCCTTAGTGAACACCAAGACAATGACATTCACACAATAGAGTCTTAACTTCATTCCGTTCAATCGTTGTGTCCGTTTTGGCAATGGACAACACTTTGGATTCATAAGTGTTTACATTTGAAGCGACCCACACTTCACACTTATATAGGTGACCTCCCTATCAAGAGTATCCTGTCATACCACCTTTACAACGTTAGGGATTCATTAAAAGTCCACATGACTTACCCTCACCACAATCAACAGGTCATCTTGCACTTGGAGTGCTCTAGGGAATAGCTTTGGACATCCATATGTTCCAAGTGCTCAACTGAATTTTCATAGCTTAGTTTTCCCTTTGAACCAAGTTCGAGGGATCTCCACTCAGCATGGTAGGGTTACCACTATGATCATTCTTTACATTGTGTATTTTTAAGCTCATTCCCTCTAGCAAAACTCCCAATTGATCTCTATTCAATCCTTTCGTCAAAGGATCAGCCAAATTTTCCTTAGACTTCACATAGTCAATGGAAATAACACCATTTGTTATCAATTGGCGTACGGTATTATGTCTACGACGAATATGTCTAGACTTACCGTTATACAAGTTACTTTGCGCCCTACCTATAGCAACTTGGCTATCACAGTGAATCATCACAGGCGGCAAAGTCTTATCCCAACATGGAATATCGAATAAAAAGTTTCTAAGCCACTCGGCTTCTTCACCAGCTTTATCTAAAGCGATGAACTCCGATTCCATCGTTGACCGAGCTATACACGTTTGTTTTGTGGATTTCCACGAAACTGCACCTCCCCCAATACAGAAAACATATCCGCTAGTGGAGCGAGAATCTCTCGAATCTGATATCCAGCTTGCATCACAGTACCCTTCTAGTACGGCTGGATATCTCGAGTATTTTAGCCCGTATTCAAGGGTGTACCTTAAGTACTTAAGTACCCTTTTCAAAGCATTCCAGTGCTCATGACTGGGATTGCTTGTAAATCTGCTCAACTTACTCAACGGATAGGCCAAGTCTGGTCGTGTACAATTCGTCAAGTACATCAGACTCCCTATTATCCGTGAATATTCCAACTGAGCCACTGGTTGACCTTTATTGGCTACCAGATCTATACTAAGATCAAGGGGTGTCTTACAAATACGCCTAGACTGTGCACCGTCATAAGCATCAAATTTCTTGAGCACTTTCTCTACATAATGAGATTGTGACAAGACAATTCCGTCTTAGGTCCTGATAATCCTTATTCCAAGAATAGCATCAGCCAAACTCATATCTTTCATGTCGAAATTTCTTTTCAACATTCTTTTCGTATCCATGATCACTTCATGGCTACTCCCCATGATCAACATATCGTCTACATGTAGACATACAATCACAAATGAATTTGATGTACTCTTGACATAAATACATTTGTCACATTCGTTGATTTTGAACTCATTTGATAACATTACGTCATCAAATTTCAAATGCCATTATTTCGGAGCTTGTTTCATTCCGTACAAAGATTTGATCAATCTACACACCTTTCTCTCTTGTCCAGGTGCAACAAACCCTTCAGGTTGTTCCATGTATATTTCTTCTTCCAATTCACCATTCAAAAATACCGTCTTCACATCCATTTGGTGAATCTCAAGATTGTGCAAAGCAGCAATCGAGAGAAGCACTCTTATCGACGCTAAACGCGTAACTGGTGAATAGGTATCAAAGAAATCATACCCTTCCTTTTGTTTAAAGTCTTTGGCCACCAATCGTGCTTTAAACTTATCAATCGATCCATCAGCTTTATATTTCTTCTTTAAGATCCACATGCATCCTAAAGGTTTACAACCATCAGGGAGATCAACCAACTCCCAAGTATGGTTCTGCATAATGGACTCGAATTCGCTATATACAGCTTCTTCCCAGAGTGGTCCATCTAGGCTGGACAGAGCTTCCTTAAGGGAGCTCGGTTCATCGTCCAACATGTACGTAATAAAATCAGGTCCAAATGTTTTCGCCGTTTTTAACCTTTTACTACGTCTAGGTTCTTCATCAGACCCTCTGGTACAGAACCAATAGCAGTTTCATATGTTCGTTTATTAGAATTAGATTCTGCCCTTTCCTTCAGAGAAAATATATTCTCAAAGAATATAGCATTCCTCGACTCAATCGTGGTACCAACAGATACCTCTGGATTTTCTGATTTATGAACCAGAAATCTATATGTTGTACTATTGTACGCATATCCAATAAACACACAATCGACCGTCTTTGGCCCGATTTTCATTTGTCTGGGTTTCGGTACTGAAACCTTAGCCAAACACCCCCACACTTTCAGGTATTTAAAAGACGGCTTACGATTTTTCCACATTTCGTAAGGAGTCTTATCTTTCCCTTTAGGTGGTATTTTATTCAAGATATGATTTGCTGTTAAAACAGCTTCCCCCCACATGTTCTGGGGTAGTCCTGAATTTATCAACATGGCATTCATCATTTCTTTTAACGTACGGTTCTTTCGTTCAGCAACACCGTTCGACTGTGGACGATAAGGGGCAGTCGTTTGATGAATTATGCCATATTTGGAACATATTTGTTCAAAAGGAGCTACATACTCCCCACCCCTATCACTTCGGATTATTTTAATCCTTTTTCCGAGTTGATTTTCAACTTTGGTCTTATAGATTTTAAACGCTTCCACAGCCTCGTCTTTGCTTCTTAACAAATATAAGTAGCAAAATCTTGTGCAATCATCGATAAAAGTAATAAAATACTTTTTACCAGTTCTTGTTTGCACACTTTTCATATCACATACATCAGTATAGATCAAGCCTAATGGTTCAGTACTCCTTTCCACCGAGTGAAAAGGCAACTTAGCCATTTTTGCTTCAATACAAATCTCACATTTCTTATGTGATTTAATTTTAGAATTAGGAATTAATTCTAAATTCATCAACCGTTTAATTGCATTTAGATTTACATGTCCCAATCTAATATGCCATAAATCATAGTACTCAACGGTATAAACAGAAATAAGCTTTTCATTATCATTTAAAACAGTTACACGGCTCACGGCCATTACATTCATTTTGAACATACCCTTGTCGAGATAGCCACGACCAAGGAAAGTTCCAAACTTGCTAAGAACAAACTTCTTAGCATCAAATACCAGCCTAAATCCATGTTCAACAAGAAGAGATCCGGAGACCAAATTCTTGCGGATGTCTGGGACATGCAGAACATCCTTAAGCTTCAACTCCTTTCCAGAAGTCAGCTTCAGCACCACAGTGCCCACTCCAGCCACATCAGCCGTGGCGGAGTTTGCCATGTAAAGTTTCCGACTCTTAGCAAGAGTGTATTCAGAGAACACCTCCTTATCGGAACACACATGACGAGTGGCACCAGTATCGATGTACCACTCCCTTGGGTTATCCACCATATTGGCTTCAAACACCACTGCCGACATATCAAAGTCGGTCAGTTCACCCGGCACAGGGCCGTGTTCAGCCACAAGGGCACTGGGTTGCCCTTT